TAGATATATATATATATATCTACATTATTTGTTTATTCAGTAATGCTTGTGCCATACATTTTTTCCTTCAAAATTATTCAAGTGATGTATTTTTTTACACCTTTTAAACACATTTGAAGTTAAAAAGGTACACACACAAAAAAATCCTCATCAATCATTATGTTTTCGCTTTTTTAATATGTCACTTAAACAACGTCCAACCCTTCTAAAAATAATAAAAATGCAATTATTTTCACATTTTTATCCCTTAAAATGCTGGTTTCATTGTTTAGATGATTGCTTATTCCAAAAAAAAAAAAGACATTAGCATTTTTCTCTCCTTCTGAAATCCCCCACACTTCAACAAAAACTAAAGTTTTTAAATCTCCACTAATACATGACAGTGTTCTGTAGGTCTATATGGGCTGGGCACTGGAAAGACCTTAGTCAAATATGCTCAACAAAGTTTACTTTGGCTCTTCAGTCCTAATGTTATGATGTTATCTTTCTCCATCAACACACTGTAAATGTAGATTAGTCTTTCTATCTGATCTCATCCATTTATGTTTGTTGTTTGTAGATTTAGACTTTTCAAAGCCAGGCCAGTGTGACCAGAGAAAGAAAATTGTGCATTTATCAACATTGTCATTGAAAATGGATTTTATAAAAAGTTCAGAGTATTTTCTATGAAAATGAAATTATTCATCTACCGCCACAATTTGTTTTATTTACGTACATTTCACTATATCGAATTAGCAGGAACCAAAATGCGAAATACATTGTGCCATTTTATAATTTTCTAAAATTTTGGCAATGAAAAAAAAAAAAAAAAATTTATTTCTTCACTAGCTCAAAGAAATACTTGTCCAAAAGATGCGAAATGAGATAATGATTGACTATATTGCTTTTAGGTTAAATGTAAACATAATCAGAATTTATAAAATATTAAATCAAATTGAAAAAAAAATATTCCATTTTCCTCGGGGAGCTATAGCACCCCCTATCGCCCTATTGGTGCAACAACCGATTAAAGGCAAATGACGATATATTGCATTGTCTCTCCTAACTTTCCTCTTCCTTCAATGCGTATACGCAAAGACTTATGCTACGTAGCTACACGCCTATCTTTAAATTCCAACTGTTAACCTATAACTCTGATATATGGCTAAGTTTTAGTTAAACTAATTCAAATTTCCTGCCATTCACAGAAGCTTCTCGGGTGATGCAACAACACAAAAGAGGAGCTGGTCCCCCGGAGATGTCGGCGTTATAACAGAAAGAGTCACCGCAGTCTTTTTTTTATTTTTTAACTTTCTAAAAGAAGGCAAGCGGTTTAGTTTTCTTTTCCCATTTAAAGTCCTGGACCTTTAACTGGTTAATACCGGCTATCCTTCAGGTGTGACTGGATAATAATGACTCTACGTGTCATACATTGGATACACTGTTATACAACTACAACAAGTTCTTATACTTGATAATAAACAAATATAATCATGCAGCAAACAATTTAAGGTTTTCTTAAAGACTTACCGCATTACTTTAGCACACAACAACGCCTTCCTGTCAGCTGACTGCGGAAATGAACTGCAAGCGCGGGAAAAAAATCAGGGAGGCGCACGTGAGACAAGAACACATCCGGGTACTTAGCGGAATGTCCTGCCCCCTTTTAAAAGGAGAACATTTAAAACTTCCCATTGGATGGGAGTTAAAGCAACTCCTGGGACATTTGGTGCAATAAAATCATAAAATAAGCAAACAACTGTGTTGTGTGAGTTTTGTTTGATTCATCTGGAGTCGTGTCAATGATTTTCTACATTTTAATAAAACGGGTATGAGGAATGAGACAGAAATACTGACTTAATGACAGAGGTAAACAACTTCAACTAGAGGGCCAAGATTTAAAAAATTAACTATAGCATCTAGTAAACTGTTTGGTATGTAGAAACATTTTTTTTTTTACAAAAAATATAAAACTATAACAATGGCTCTCATGGCTCAACATGAAACATTTGGAACAAATCTGACTTGCACATATTACTGGATGGATCTCAATATAAATGCCACTTAAGGGAATGGAGTATTTAAATGAACAGCAGTTATTACACATAATTCCTGCTGCTATTTATTAACTGAAGAGATCTGTTTAAATGGAGGGAATAAGCATCACAAAGTTACCACTATGATCATTAATGATTGTGGAAATGCATTAGAAAAATAAACAGCAAGATATACAACTAATTTTGGGTGAAAAAATATACTCATTCATGTTTGCATTAAAATAAAGAAAAAATAGAAATATAAAATAAGCCTTGGGGTTACTATAAATGGCTGTGATTTAGGCTTTTTTTAAACTTACTTCAAGAAGAGACTTTGGAAGAAGGAAATGATTTTAGACAATTGGAAATCCATACAACCCTATAAGAACTGAAAACATTAATAAAAGGCCATCAGGCAAAGCAAAAAGCACAGGCACATGGGATGAATAGTCAGAAGAATATGTTTAATAAAAATAATTAAACCTCAATTTCCTCTATAGAACTTCATAGAAAGTAATCCAATAAATTACAAATTACTTTAAGACGCATTTTCCTGCACTACAATAATTATTTTGACTACACAGACCACATCTTGCAAGAATTACAACTTTCCAATGAGAAAAATAAAGACAAACTGACCAAGGTGACATTTTACGGTCTCAAGCTTGAGCCAAAAATACAAAACCCACGTTTGCTCATCGTGTCCTCCTTTTACAGCAGTAGTGTTTTGTCACTCCCCTTGCATATTGGTCTCTGTTTACTTGCGTCAAGCCACATTATGAACTCAAACATTTCCAATTTGAGTCCTTTTGGGTTCCCACTTCTGTTGTTGCAAGCCCTAGCACACAAATCAATTCACTGAGGCGTCGCTGAGGGGCGACAATCATTCGATCAGTGGCTTACAGCAGACGGAGCAGTGGCTGGGTGTTTGCATAAGGGCACTACCAGTTAAAACAGAGCAGAGGTGTAGATATACAAAATGACAGTGGTATGTTTTGCTCAGACATAGAAAAATACCATACTGTTAGTAATCATTAAAAAATGCAAATTGCATTGAAAGCAAACCATGATGAGGTCTATATAGAGCAGGCATACAAGAAAACCACTTTAAAGCAACATTAGAAAACAGACGTGTCTTCAGTCTTTGTGTTCAGACCTCGCAAATTTTTTTTTTTGTCATCATCATTAAGCCCACTGGAGAGAGGGAGAAAGAGAGGTGCTACAGATACTTAGGAATTCAACAGTTTATCCAGGGGGCCCTTCTCCTTGGAAATATCTAACAGTCAACGGTGTAACAGCAGTCCTAGAGCAAGCACTGTTGTGCCAGAGAAGATTACAAAAAGGTACTTCGGCTCGAGTGTAGTCCAGTGTTTATGTGTAACCTGGTTACAGCTCTAAAATGAATGTGCGCGGGGAAAGCTGAAGGAAACACACAAGCATGGTGAGTGAGCGGCGCTATGAGAGGATGAGGGCAGGATAAGGGCACTTCTACATCTAGCTGAAGCTCAGTTTGTCAGCAAAACAGATTCGTGAATGATAAAAATGAGACAAAGCTGCAGACTCCCAGCAACGCAAATTGAAATGATCAAGCCCTTCCTGAAGCAAACCCACCCAACGCTAACTTTAATACTCAGCTATAATGAACAATCAATACAGTCTTAAACAGGATTGATCCATGTTGTGCTTGTGGCACTTGTATTTTTAACACCCCAGGCTGTCATGCAACACCTTAAACTTCCTTCAGAGTCCTGAAGAGGCATGTTTGAAGATAAAAGAACACTTGTAAAGCGGTGGTCACAAGTCAAAAACCAGTGAAGCTCCATAAACACAAAAACATTCAGACTGGAAAAGTTCTGGAAGCAGGAGTTACCGAGCCGTGGAGGGAGAAACGGCATAACGTAGTCACAGAGGAGATGGGGAAACTTGGCTTCTGACACACATTCACACACAGTCCAGGAGAAACAGAGAGACATGCATATGTACATCTGCACAGTGAAGTCAACTCTTTTAGCAAAGCTGAGGTAAAGATGCAGTCAAAAATAATGGGACCTAAGGAATAATATCCACAACACTTTCAGGACATCTGAGGGTAAAAGGGCAGTTTTTTGGCACACAGTAGAAACTGAATTTCTGTCAATAGCTGACCATGTCAACTAACAGTTACACAAGAGAATATTTGCGCCTTATTTAAGGAACTACAAACTAAAATGTGTCATTCCTAGGGAGTAGGCAAATAAATGTCCTACTGTCAAATTATGTCTGATTGTGAACATTCTACATTTCCCACTCAATATGTAATCCTGTGTCTAACCTGAATAAGAAAAAAGAAGGGAAGGGATAGGATGAATGAGTTGTGAACTGGGGGTGGAAACATGGCAGATGAGAGAATCTACAGCTTCAGTGACATTCATTAGCTGCCCAGGTTATTGCTGACATTATCCAACATCCATCTGCAAAGCCAAAGTGTCAACAAACCTGCAAATGTACTGGCTATTTTACAAGTGAAACCAAAGTGTTTGAAAAGTGTCAACCCCCCATCCCCAAACAATCAAAATATATTAATAGTACTGCTCAATGAGCAAGTTGATGTAGTTTCATCTTTTTTTTTTTAATAAAATTAATCCTGACATAATTACAATAATGCCTTTTCTTCTGTTGCAATTGTACATAATCAGGTGGTACAAGTTCACAGAGTTCAGAAAGTCTACCAAAGTCTGACATGCAAAAAGTCTCAATACAAGACTGTACCTTGTGAACAGACATGGACATTTTTTTCTGGCTCCTTTAAGTCAGTTTTTTTTTTTTTTTAAGGTTTTTACAGTCTTTTTTTACACAACGTAGTTAGTTCTTGTATTTACACGTAAAGAAATCGCAACATAAGTGCTGGAAAATCCATATATATGTGAATAAATGTCTACATTTCTAGGCAATACATAAATAAATTTTTCATTTTCTATTCGTAGGTTCAGTCCTCGTCACTGGAGTCCGAATCGTCAGAGGATGAGGAAGAGCTCCCGGACTCCGACGAAGATGACTCGGCTTTCGCTGAACCTTCAGGGCCGCTGTTTTCTCTCGGTTCTGCAGATTCCTCGTCATCCTCTTCCTCGTCGTCCAAAGCCTCCTCGGGCGCCTCTTCCTCCTCCTCTTCCTCCTTTCCTGATGGCTGCTCCGCTTCAGTCAGGGAGGACTGGGAGGCTGCAGGAGCAGAAGGAAGAGGAGCAGCAGCAGCAGATGGAAGGGTTGAAGGGTCACTGTTTGAGCTCTGCAACTGTGTGGCAGACACAGGAAGGTTAAGGCCTGGAGTGAGAAGCATCCCTGGGTAAAGCATACTGGAGAGTAACAAGGGGTTAAGAGAGAGTGGGTGACTGGTGGCTGCAGAGGCAGCTGAAGCACTTGGTGTGACAGTGGCAGAGGAAGCAGAACTGGAAGTGGAGGAAGGAGTCGTGTTTACGTCCTCTGTCCTTTCTCCTTTGGTTTCCGAAGTGTTAGAGGGGGCATTAGACGGCTCACACGTTCCGCTGCTGTCGGTTCCCTTCGTCTTCTCTTCGGAACCTCCCGCAGCTTCCTGAGTAGGCTTTCCAAGCATGCTGCTCATGCCGAGCAGGTTTGGCAATCCGGCCATACCAGAAAGCATCATGGGAAACATGGCGGCGAGATTACTCGCGGCCAGGTTGCTGGCGTCTGGCGGCAGTCCCATGAGGCCTGCAGTGAGCTGCAGGGACTGTAAACTTTGGAGGTTTTGCTGGAAGGCCTGCAGACTGCCGAGGTCCATGCCAGAGAGGAGACCGTTAGCCAGTAGGGAATTTAAACCCAGGGCGGAGGGTGCAGAGCTGGGTGCCGCTGCAGCCGCAGCAGCCACCGCTGCCTTGGCCAGGGGATTCTTCGGTCGGCGTCCTCGTCGGCTCACCTCCTCGGGAACGATGGGTCCAGTCAGGATCCGGTCAAACATGCTCTCAGGGAGATAACCCTAGTTAAACACAACAGATACACAGGCTTAGAAGGAAAATTAAACAAGCTCAGTTTCTTACAACCATGGATGTGAATGTAAATGTAGCTTATTTACAGAGCAATGGCAATGCTTTGCAAGGCATGTCAACGCTCTCCTATCCAATGCCTGGAAGGGACCTATTATTCTACACCTCAAGATAACTGGCGCTTCCTTTCACCATTAATGCAGCTCATACTGCTGCGTGTCCCCTCACAATATATAATTCAGAATGTGAGGCACGATCCCATAAGGGGTGCTATTACTTTTGTTGGCATTTCAAGTAACCATGGCGAAGTAAGTAGCGAAAAACGAGCCAAATTCAAATCAAAACAAATTCTAATTGACACCGTTTTCTGTCAGTTGCACTCAAAAAGGAGATGGAAAGAATTCTGTCTGCCCCTCTGTGTCTCACTCACACATGACAGTTTTCAGAGAGGATTAAATACCAAATTTTAGCTTGTACACTAATTTTAACATACTGAACGGAGTAAGTCCATGCTACTCAACATGCTTGTGACTCTCCACATGCTATTGAGTACAATGTAGCTTACTCTAGCATCGATGCTAATTTTTAGATCAGAAAGTTGGGTTCCAACCGATGGGCACACTTTGGCAGGCCCCGTTTAAATTTCTTCAGAAATTTTCTAGTTTAAATTAATGCTTTTCTAAAACAATTGAAAACACTAATGAATGCAGGACTTATTGCAAATTGTGAGAAAACTGCGATGACTCACCGACTGTTTAACCACGTCAGCCCATTCAGGTGGGACCCCATACTCTGGATTTTCCTGGAGGAACCGGCACAGATCCTTCAGAGGAGGAGCAAAAGCTCCACCGATCTACACAAGAGAAAACAAGCCATGTGAACCAGTCTGCACAACAGCCAAAGCAGATATTTACACACAGAAAAACTACGCATTTAGAGGTTTTGCTATTAAAAATCTGCAAAGTGATTGATATGCATTTAGCTCCCCTATACAACACTATACAGTGAAGCATGGTGATGGTAGTATCATGCTGTTGGGGTGAACTTGTTAGCTGATTGTTCAATTAATGGGGTAATGGATGAAGCTATATAGAAGAAAATACAACAAGTATTAACCTTTTAAAGTTTTATTTGTAAAAAAACAGAAAATTGTGCACACTTTAAATAAAAGATAAAAACAAAATCCAGACACAAACTCACCTTGCGAGCATTTCTCCTGTTTATGATCTGGACCCTTTCCTCGCCAGTTAGACTGTTGACGTCGATCTTGTTAGGGTTCCTGCAGCGGTGCCGCTTCTGCTTGGGTCGGCCATCTTGGAAGTGGAACTGCATCTGCATCTTATTGACCCCCTGGAAACAAAAACAACAACAAACTTGTTGAGAACATTTTAGTAAACTGTACGTTCTAACGTGAATCAGTGCCCCAGAAAGGGATGAAAATTATAAAAATAACCAGTACTAACCGGGATAAAAGCTCCTGTATCTGCAACAAATCCTGGGTGTTCCTTAAGCCACTGGTCTAGGTCTTTTCTCATGGGAGCGTCGTCACCTGCCAGTCGGGTGCCGTCCTTCAGGTTGATGACGGGGATCCTGGTGTCTGTGTCTGCAGGGATCTGACTGGAGTTCATTTGTGCAGCAGCTCCTGCGATGCCCACCTGGCCGATTCCACCCCATCCTGGAGCCACCTTCACAGACATATGAACATGATGCTGATTTTATTTAATGTTTACCTCATATAGAGTGCTTTGCAGGATTTTTTTAGTTCAATTTGCAGAATATTAACAAGAGGCATTAAGAAATTTTACCGGGTCAGGAGTAGCAGATAATTTATTCCTGTTCATGAAGAGCAGCTCCATTCCTTCTACATTCTTCCTTCTCCCTCGTCGCTTCTTAACCACTGGCTGGCCGTCCACTACTCCGTTCAACCTCATCTGACCACTAACACCCGGAATTACTGAAGGAAAGGCACCATGTTTGTCATCGTGCATATTGAAATAAATTAAATTGGTATTTTTAGATGCTTCAAAAGTTTTGCCTCAGTTTTATTATAAATTACAAAACTGCTATTTAAGTTTGGTGTTTTATCCTTCCACCAAACTTTCTACTAATATAATTAAATACAGCAATTTGTTAACAGGAATAAGTGCACAGCAAAAACATGATTTTGGTGCTAAAAAGCTTCCATACATGCTGCCATCTAGTGGCAGATGAAGAACACAAACACTGAACATATGCAGCTTATCCTGCAACTTAAAAAACCCCCAAAACAAACAAAAAACATCATACCAGTCTGGAAAGAGCTTTGAGGTTTGGTTATGTCTGCCAGGCCTGTGTCCGAAGCGCTCTGCAGCTCATGAAGCCGGGCCAGATACTGTTGCTGGGCCTGGGGGCCCTCCTCAGACTCTAGGGGCCTCTTTATAGGCAAGCCCTGCTTCTGGAAGGTCAGCTTCAGACCTCCTTCCTGCTACACACACAGACAGGATCGTGAGAGACGACTCGAGGAAAGGCAAACTCATGGAATAAAATTGAAAATTAAATACCTAGAAGGTTCATCTATGACCTTTAATTCATCAGAGATCACATTAGGATGTTCTCGTTTTGACTATTTGATTTATTCACCAAAAAACAAATTATATCCAATTTTATTCCTCTTTCCTTAGCTTTTAAAAGTTTCAAATCTACTCTATCAAAATTTAAAGACACATTTTATCAAACAATTACAGAAAACACTGTTCAGGTTGTTGTTTGTTAGTAGTGGTGGGACACATGAACACACAGTGGGTAGTGCTGAGCAGGGCAGTGGGTGAAGTCTATTTGTAGCCTGGACTGTGCTTAGAAGCCATGCCATAGAGATAGCTGTTGTCAGCATATAATGTTCCAATTTAAAGGTAAAAAGCAGCTATGAAATGAAAAACCACACTGTTTTTGGAGTCTTTATCAAAAAGCGGCATCAGAAAAAGAAATACAAGCAAATATGATTCCTGCTTAGGTTATAGCCATGTTGCCAACAAGCATATTAGACAAAACCACCAGCGGCAGAAGTTCCCATTCCAGTCAGAGATTACAGGCAAGACCCCTTCAGAGCAGAGAGGCTTCAAACAGAAGCTTATCATACGCTCATGACTGAATGATTTGTGTTCGTGTAATCACAGCCTGAGAGCCCAATTCAAATAGAGTGTGTGGGAAAAGAGGGGAAGGCTGTTATTAAATTAATCTCTCCTCCTGCCAGGCAGTGCAAACCGCTAATCATCCTCAAAGGAAAGCAGGCCGACGGAGAGCGAAGAGACATGCTGAACGCGGCAGCTAACAGCGGTCATGGCAGAGAAGAGGCAGGGGTCCTACAGTTAGGGCTGAAGCGGAGGGAGGTGGATGGAGCGAGGAATTAAGAAATCAAACATACATCATTGAGCTTTACTGAGAACTCCTTGTTTTCTGCAACATGCTTGGTCACCTTTGACCCCTGTGGAGAGGCAGAGGGGTCCTCGCACAGGCTGTTGGCGTTGTCCAGCAGTTTGGTGGTGTAGAAGGAGGCGACTGTGCTGCCGGGCTCGTAGACCCGACGGTGGCCAGGCCACTTGCCCTTGAGCACGGCCTGGCAGATGCTGTCCAGACGGTTGATTATCACACGGTCCTAGTCAAATCAACATACAAAATTATTAATAATAATAATAATAAAAAACTCACCCCTTGGCACCTCAACCCAAGCAGTTATGTTAGGCAATATGAGAGATTAGTATCAAAATAACTCTGCAATGGGAGATAGCATTTAGTAAAGTTAGAAACTCTAATATCTGATAAGCTCAACAATTAGTATTCATTCAACATGGGCAATGTGGCTTAAAAATAAAATCTCAAATTTGAATCTATTTTTCTTTTTACTTGCTTTCTTTTTGAAAAAACTAGTTACAAATGACAGAAAATATTTTCAAAAAGCATCTTATTTCAATCATCGCTTCTATACAAGGTGAACTTTTGTTTAATTACAAGGATGTAATAATAATATTTGCAGAAAACTGACAATTTGACTTGAAAAAAAATCATAACATTACAAGAAAAAAGTTGTTTTAATGGGGGGAAATGCTTAGTTATCAGGATCTGGTGTGAGCAGCTCAGCTCATGTAGATCTTCAAAATAGACAATTGTTTGAATGATCATTTCAAAGTCCTGCTACTGATGATAATTTCATGCTGATGTTAAAAGATTAAGTATTTCTATTAATTATTATCTGTAACTATTCATAAAATGCTCTACATTTCTTATAATTCTTCCAATAACCAAAAATTTGATTAATCGATCAAATCGATTTATCACCCAGCCCTAGCATCCATGCTTGAATAGCTCTGCAAGTGACCAGTGTCTTAAGTATTACCTCAAATGCAAACCTTAATCTGTAATTAACTAGACTGCAAAGAAAACAGGAGTTATTTACCTTGGGCCAGTATGACGCAGCCAGCATGTAGCCTCCACCCTGGAAAGGATGGGAGGAGTTGTTTGTGACTCCATTTTCAGACACGTGTGAGTCTTGCATTTCGTCCTGTGTGGTGCTGAGGGAGGCCACGCTGTCCTCATCGAAACCCTTAACACTTGTTGTTACAGGCACTATGGGAAAAAAAATACAATAAAAATCCAACTCAACAGGTTAGGGTAGGTTTATGGGCTATTCAAAACACGTTCATTCAGTTTCTTGCGCAAAATTATTCTTAGAATTTAGGATTTCCGTTTGATCAGTTCTGCCTATTCTGAGCTCCTTTCAGAATTAACTGTTTTAGGGTCTCTTGTTACTTTAAATCCACTTGCAGGTGAAAATGGCTGCAAACAGATACAAAATTATAGAAACATCCATCTTTAAAAAGCAAAAGTACAGCCTCCAGCACAACCAACAGGAATGTTGTGTGGTTTCTGAATGGTAAGTCAACAAAACATTTGTTTTTTCCAGCAGCCATGGTACAGCTTAAGTGAGCCGACAAAACATGCTCGAGTAGGTAACGGGCTTTACTGGAGTTAAAGTGCCTGTCAAATTTGACTGAACAATCTGGAGGTTTTTGAAACGGTTTATTTTCCAGACACCAAAAAACCTTAAATTATTCCCAAAAACAGTGCTTGACTGTTTTTAGAAGGAGTAGAAACCCTAATGAAAGTAAAAAAAAACCAGAAACGACTAAAAAACTGAATTGAGAACCAGGAAGAATTATTTCCTTAAAGTCGGTGCAACTCACCTTTCTTCTTTGCTTCCTCTCCCTCACTTTCACTGTCATCAGAAGAGGAGGAGGATGATGACGATGACGACGAAGAGCCAGAGGAGCAAGATGAGGAGGAGGAGGAAGAGCTGGACCCGGAATGTGAGGAGGAGGAAGAAGATGAGGACGAGGATGAAGAAGATCGTGACGAAGAGCTCGAGGAGGAACCGTCCGAATCGGACTCGGAGCCTCGCCGGGCCTCCCTGCGGCCCCTTTTGCTCGCCTTCTTGGGTTTCCTTTCTGTGGAGTTGGGTGTGAGCGGCTTGGTGCGCGCTGCCACCATCTGCCTCTCGCTGTCCTTCGCCACGGAAATGGGCTTCTCCTCCAGGCCTGTTGGAGTCGCTGGAGGCTGTGGGGGGCTCCAGCTCTCCCCCTGCCTTTCTTTAGTCTCCTCTTCTTCTGAGGCTGCTTCCACTTTAGGCACAATCCCACAGGGATCCGGGTCTCTCTGGGTGGGCGGGGGCAGCGGGGAGCCTGTCGGTAACGGTCCGGCAGCCTGGTACTGAGGGAGCAGGAGCGGGGTTGTTGTGCGTTGCTGCTGCTGCTGTGCGGCTTTCACCTGGCTGTAGTTGCGTTGGGCTGCCATGAAGCACAGGTCGGGGTCTCTCAGAATGTGGTAATCCGTCCGACTGACGCCGTGCTTTGCGGCGCCGATCAGCAGGTCGCGGTCGTGAGTTCCGGCCTCCCACCACACGGGTAAGTCGGAGCTCATCTGGCACAGGGACAGACGTTCAAACAGCAGTGGATGTCTGAGGACTTGTTCCCTGACCTGGCGAAGCAGCTCTACTCTGTACAGGGTACGAGAGGCTCGCTCTTCTGTGATTGGCTGGATGGTCAGGGATGGATCCGCCGCAGAGTCTGGAACAAAAGGAGGAAATGACGGTTTTGCTCTAAAGGTACAACCCAAAAGGCTTGTTTGTGGCTACAGCTTAAGCGTCACACTGTTTGCCTTTCGGCTAATGATTAACCTCATCACCAGGCTACCTCTGAACTGGCGGCGCAACTTGTTTACCACAGACTTCTCTCCTAAACAGTCTCATACAGATGAGGAGCGTGACACATCTCTCTACTGGTCTTCTTCAAGTTTGTAAAAAATAATAAACTAAGTACACCGCAAAAACTTAAATCTAAGTAAACTTAAATAGAATTAAGAGCATTATAATGCTTTGTTTCTTTTCTGACAAGATACTTTTTCTAACCAAAAGGTTTTTCAGTTAGAACATTTTGTTGCTTAATTAGCTTACTAAGAAATTAAAGCTTGATATTATGAATTTATTACTTATTATGAGGCAGTTTATGCTAGAAACTAGAATAGTTTTCAAAGAAAAGAAACAATAGAAAAAATAAACTTGTATAATATTTAAAGCAACATCAAACATAAATAGCGTGTCGTTATAGATTCAGATAATTCCCAGTTTTCATTAATTAATTTGATCATTCACAGTCATAAGAAGGCTAAATCAAAAGCAAGTCATACATGTTTGTATGCAAATACGATTCTGACCTCCATCTTTGGGTGGCAGGCGACACACTCGTCTACACATAGCAGTGAAGGCGCAGAGGTACTTCTGCAGGCTCTCGTCCGTTTTCTTGTGCAGCCGGGCCATGGCCCTGAACTTGGTCCAGTCAAATCGCCCGAGGCTTGGGTCAAAAACGACACCAAAAGTAGACACAACCCGATAAAAATCGGCCTCTTCTCGCCTGGTCCACCTGCAATAACGGCATTTAGATAAATAATTAGATGACAATCCTTGTTACAAAAAGCGTAACATGAGTCTTGGATTTCTGTTTTTGTAAATATTTCTGTTTTCATGCATTTCATTTGCTTCCTGACCTCTGTTGGCGTTCAATCTTTGCAGCCATCTTGGGGTTGAGTGTGTCTTTAAGTGCGGGGGGCAGCGGGCAGATGGGAGCAGAGAGCATCATGGCCTGCTGGGGTTGAGACTGGGACTGAGTCTGGTGGATGTGTAGGATCTGCCGGCTCTTGGTGTAGCGCTGAGACGCCGTGATCAGTCGTCTCAGTCTGGCTGTCAACACTGAGGGAGAGGGCCAGTAGGAAGTCTGGCCTTCCGTCACTGGAGGTGCGTCTGGTTGTAGCAACAAAAATTATAGAGACAGAATCCTATTTTTAGCCATAAAAATAGAAGTGGGTTGCTTTGCTGCTTCAAACTTTGAGATCTGTCCTGTGTAGGAAGGCTTTGCTTTTAATAAATCGTGATAATTCCACTCAGGATTGAGAAGATTTAATACCCACCTCCAGCATTATCAGAGACAACCAAATCTCCAGGGGAAGAGGCGTCATCCTGCAAGACGACAAACTCTCATTTTAGACGCAACTGACTTTAAAAGAAGTAAACATGTTATTACCACACATCAGCACTTGCTAACCTTTAATAAAAATGGTAAAAGAAATAAATAAAAATTTCAAACCAACAGAAAATGAAGGGGTTTGATCATCCACATTTAGGCTTCAAAGCAAATGGCCCCAACATGGATCAAGATTTTTTTTCCCCTCTAAAACATATGTTGATGCATTTATGAATGTTGTAAAGTTTCACTGGCTTACAACACAAACAAGTGCTTAAAATATTTAAAACAGCAGCTGGCAATCACCAAACAGGATGTCTGCTTGGGATTCAACTGCTGGCTCTACCAGAGCAGATAGCTGAGCTAATTAACCGGCTGATACCAGCTTGTTAAACTCCCAGTGTTACTCAACAGCAGAACATATATTCAGCTGAAAATTACTGCTAAATTTAGTACTGCTTCAATCCATGTCTAAAAAGATAATAAATACATGCTATATATATATATATATATATATATATATATATATACATATATACATATATATATATATATATATATATATATATATATAAAGACAATTTCACATTTTATTAAAATATCAATGTTATCTTACTAAGAATATTTCATATTGGCCCAAGCCCAACATGTTGTTTACAAGTTGCATTTTAATAACCCACTTTACCTGGAAACCTGATTAGTTGCCATGCTTTAACAGAGCAAATATCCTCCTGACTACCAGTAGTTCATTTTTGTCCTCTGTAGAGGACATTTCTAAACTTGAATATCTCCCACCCCCTGCATTCTACCGAATTAATTCCTTTTGGTATCTGGAGAGGACATTTAGGGTTTTTCAATGATACCACATGTGAAGGGGTGGGACTTTTGTACGTACCTTTTTCTAATTCATAAAAATGGCATTCAACAGTAATAACACATTTTATGGGAAGAGAAAGTAAGTGCATAAATATTCTAATTACCTTACAAAGACTGTGGGATTAAAAAAAATGGTGATTGGACAATATTATTTTTCCTGGTAGTCAGGAGGATATGACAATATTTGAAAAGATTAAAGATATTAGCTGCTAAGAGTGAATAAACCAGACTGTGCAGTGAAGCCAGAAGGTGGCGGTGCAGGACACACTTGTTTGGGGGTTTAATCTTAGAAGTGGTGGTCATTTCTAAACAGAATCTAATCTCAACCTCTTCTTAAATCCTCATGGCCTTGTCATGAGATACACAACCCTTTCATCAAAAATATTCGGTGTGCCTCTTAGAAATACAGCAAAAGCTAATTGTTAAATCTTTATGGAAGTTTCTTGACACAATTCCCACTTTCTAATTAGAAACTACACACCACAGCCTGAATAGCTGTAGTAATAATAACAACTATTACTTTCAAGTCAAACATACCATGTTCTGATACCACAGCTTAAATAAAAAGCTAAAAGCTCACATTTTACCGAGAATGAAGGGATGACAAATAATCATAAAATTGTCAAAAAGTAGGATATAAAGTTTTTTTAATCTTTCTAATTAGTAGAAATGTTACAAAGTTGACATGACCTTTTAATTCGTACATTTTGTAGACTTACCTCCATGTCGTCTTTCAGAAGAGCTGGAGCAGGCTTGTACTCTGGATCATCCACATCCCTGCATTCAGATTATTGTTGCAGATTATGGAGGTTTTAATAAACAGGGTACAAGCAGAGCACATGTTGGTGCGGTGTGTCTGCTCACCCATCCATGAAGTCATTGCCTCTCTGCTCTGCAGCGATGGCCTTCTCATCCGGTCGCCCAACGCGGTCTAAGAAGCACAGAGTTGGGTCTGCACGAATAGTGTTGTACTTCTCATACCCTGGAAACGTGCAGAAAGACAAACACACCAAATTTAGCAAAAGATAATGCATGGAAACATGTGGATAAGCGATCAGGAAATACACACAAGCTGTCTAATTTCCCACTGGTATTAAAGAAATCCAGTTTTGGATATAAAGCAAATTTATCTGACTTATGTAGATGAGTTAGTGTCCTACAACTCTAATTCTTGCAAAATTTTGGTAAATAAGTTAGAGGATTTTCATTTTCATAAATAGTATTCCCTGTTGAGTTCTATTCAGTTTCTCACCGTGCTTAAAGACACCAAGCAGCAGACATTTATCGGCGACTGCATCCCACCAAAGGGCTGGCAACTCTGAGTGGTCCGGATCCGGCACCCAGATCTTTACCTCACTGTGTGATATAAGGAGAGGAAGATGTTGGAAAACTATCCACATAGAGAAACAAACACAAAGTATATTTTAATACGTCTTAATATCTTTTAAACTATTACACACAGAGTAATAAGTGGGGGAAACCTATAGACCGACACTAGCAGTGACTATAAAACTTCACACTGGACCTTAAGCAGACTGGATTCTGTGTCTCGCTGCTCTTCCTCCAGACGCTGCTACTTTGATTACCAAACAAAATGCAAAATTTACATTCACCTAAAGAAAATCTTTCCTACAGAAATCATTGCTTATGCAAGTTTTTCAACTCCACTTTTATCTCCCAAGCAATTTTCCAGTAATATACTTGAACACAATATTCTCTGAACAGTCAGCTGTCATCCTTTATATGGAAATTGTCCCTTTTTGTCTGAGAACAACTGTCAAGTCATATTTAATTGTCTAATTTTCTGACATGAATTGGAATTAACAAAAACAATCGGTTAAAATTTTTATGTAATGAATCTGTGGTGGTTTAACTTTTTCTATGCAATTTTGTTGAAATGCTGATTTTTACTTAAGTGCAGATTTTTTGTTAAGTTGTTCAGAACTTAAGTCGTTTTTATGATGTTGCCTCAATTTGCTGCTGATAAAACGACTAACCCATTGCAGAGATTTATTATTAATCCCACAACACAAAATAAGCCTCAATTCCTACTTTTTTACAGTCAACTGTGGTTTCAAAAAGCCCACTTCAATGTTGAACACATCCAAACTAATTTCACCAGCAGGGGGTGCTGTGCATCCACTACTAAGAATATTATGAATGTGTTTCTACCTTCAACCAGTTGATATCAGATGCAAATGCACACATGTCCAACCCAGAGAGAAAAAACTATTTCAACATTAAGGCTTCTTCAAACTAAAACTGTTGGCTTTAATCAACTTTACTGTCATCTTTGTAAATATATGAAATCTAAACAGTCCATCTGACCTCTTAAACTTCAGCTTTGTGTGTAAAGTTAACTAGCAGTGCTGTGATTTAGGACAGTTTCTGCTTCTTTTGTATATAAATTTGTTTTTAAAAGTCCCACACAAAGTTCAGTGAGAGATAATTTATTTGAGAGGAGGCATCTGAGCTGGACATCTGAATATGCTGAAGATGAGCTCACCTGGAGTCCCCGCCGTCTAGCACCTTCTGGGCCTGACTTCCTATCACCTCTTGTTTCAGGTAGTAGAGCATTCTGACCCGGAGCAGCACTCTGCGGAGAGAAAACCCGGCTGGTCACAACAAAGCCCCGTCCATCCACAAAACGCTGAGAAAGCAGGTCCAGCACACCCACTCGCACACACAGACACCTGCTAAATACAATGCAAATGAGGGAAATGTGTGACAATCGAGCTGTAATCCAAAGCTTGTACTGTACAGTCACAGTCCAGCAATTTTACTGCTGTACTCCCACATTCAAATCAAAAATACATCTGAATTTCTCCCTGATTTTTTTATGAAGCTGCCATACATTACTCCCCTATCTGATCAGGTAAAATTTAAGCGTCTAAGCAACACTGAATAAGAAAACAGTGTGATCAATTGACGTGGTGAAACAGTTGAGACAACATCGTAAAACAGCAGCATCTCTCTGCAGCTGTCTTGTGGAGAGGAAGGCTGGGAAGTTAAGGCTGACAAGCCAGAGACAGCGTGACTCACAGGGGAGACATTAGCTCTATAATGCATGATCGCACATCACAGACGTCAGCTTGGAGTGGAGACGCGCTGAAGTGGTGGGAACTGTGGAGTGCCAATCTACATTATAAAGCTGGTATGATATGAGAGGGTTTTTTCCAGATGCAAAAAAAAATAAAATAAAAAAAAAAAGACCACTTAAAGATGATTTTAAAGTCCATCTTGATGTCTTTTGGGAAAATGTGATGTTGAGATTTCATAAATTGTAAAAACTATTTTTTTTTAGTATGCCAATGAAGTTTTAATCCTTCCTATGTGCAAGCATTTAAATTTTGTTGGAGCGTATATGTGTAAAGAAAATTTTTAAGAAAATCAGTGACAACTTGTATGTAAAGGAACATTTTAAATATTTTCTGGACAACAGAAAGCAGAAATACAAATCAGTATTCAAAAGAACCTTTTAAACTTTTATTTCTGATCCTGTTGCATTTATTAGGGTAAATATTAAGGCTCTACCCAGACTACTTTGTTTTGCACAGTAAAGCCATGAAGAAAAACTAGACTCCTCCTTGTTAGGTCGAAGTGGCATGGCAGGGATGAAGTGAACCCTCTGGTAAACCTCAAAGAGAGTTAATCACAGAGCTGAGTTAGTGAGAACAAGTGAAGAGAGGGAAGGCGTAGGCAGTGGTCTGCTTTAGAGAAGAGTATTCCTCCCACTAGTTATTTCTGCAATGCCGACTTCACATACAGTGCAAACATCTGTAGAAATTCAAGACTAAAATTTAGCAAACTATCTCAGTCAGATTAAAATAAAAACAGCTCAAGCTGAAACGTTTTTCAAATCTTGTCACATTTCTTAATTGGACTTGCTTCTCAGGTTTTGTCCCAGTATTCAGTTCCATCCACCCTACCATCAACTCAGACCAGCTTCCCTGTCCATGATCTAGAAAAGAATCCCCACAGCATGATGATGCCACCACCATGCTTCACCATGGGAATGGTGTGTACAGGGTTAAAATTCGCCTTCACACGCAGCATTTTACATGTAGCTCAGAAAATCTTTTTATTTGGTGTTATTGGACAAGAGCCCATTCTTGCACATTTTCCTATGTGCAAGAATGGGACATGGGAGTGATGATCTTTAAACTGTTTTTATTAACAATAGCCATATCCATAAAAGCCATGTTTGTAGACGGGCACAACAAACAGTTTTCCTGTTGACTGATTCTCCCATATAAGCTGTGGATATCTGCAGCTCCACAAGAGTAACTATGGGCCTCTTGGCTGATTTTCTCATTTAGACTTCGATTACCCACTGACTCATTTTCAGGTGACGGAGTCAACACCGTGACTATGAAATGTACAGAATGTGGATACCGTTTTATAACCCAAGTCTGCTTTTGACGGTCTTAAACTTTTTTTTTCACGTTTTGTTAGGCGTTTGGGACTTTACCGCCTACCCAGGTAAAGTCCCTCTGGTGATGGAAAATATGAAACAGCACAGCAAAACATTCTGTATCACTTAGTGGAAACTATTCATTACAAACTTCTGAGTCCTTCATAGAGCAGCTGCATTTATACTGAAATAAAATTACTCCTTTTCCTTCCTAGGTGACTTCTAACAGCAACTGAATGTGTAATAATTTATAATGGGGTATCACTGTAAAGAAGGATAAGTACAACTTTTTAAGGCTTTTATTTGTAAAAAAAAAAATATAAAAAATCATTCCCATAAATAATATCCTTTCTACTTCAATCAAGTGCTTGTCTGTCACATAAAATCCCAATAAAATACACTCAAGTTTGCCAATGTCCAAGGTCCAACAGTGTTTCTCGGCAAACGTTAGTGGCATCCACTATGGAGAGCTATCTCTGTTAGTTCAGAGCTGAACTGAATGGCTCCCTCCCCCTTTCGGTGTTGACTGGAGCCGCCCAGGACCAGCTGCCTCTTCCTCTGCCTGTCAGTGTAGCCCTTCATCAAGTCTCTCTCAAGCCTTTGTTAGTGGGTGGCGTCTGGGAGACACAGTTCATCCTGAGAGGCTGCAGAAGAACTCTACACAGCTGTAAGCAGCCTTTCCAAAACAAATAAGACAAGCACGTCTGACAAAAGAGGCGTGTATGAAATCCTTCATGCTCAGATATCGTTTTAGCGTCCAACATAAAAGAAAATTGAACAAGTTTTCTGTCTTTTTTTGGTAAATTTAGGAATCAAGATTTTTTTAAAAGTGCTGTAAAAGATCTGCTTTGTGATTCCAGGTATGATCTTGATGTTCATTTATTTTAAAATTATCAGAAAGAAATACGTTATATATATTTTTTGCCACACAGGAGTCATGTGCTTTTGTAAACCTGGCGCCCCTGCTGAGGACACCAGCGAACCCTTCACCCCCAGACCACCAGTCACATTGCAGGTCCTCCGACTGAGAATGCACAAGTCAGCAAACTCTGCAGAGCGTGTGTCCCCAACTGCCTGCCCGGCATGTCACACATCACACAATCACGAGATTCAGCACTACTGGACAAAGACACAATGGAGAACTTTCTATGGAAGCTGCAGAGCTCTGCACCCAAAGCTCACTGGGCGAATGAATCCATCCCGAAGAGAAGCGACACTTTATTTAGCTTTTATACGTCAAACAAACGTTTCAATAATAGCCAACTTCTCACCTCTGGCTTAAAATAAGAAAGATATATGATGGCCATTAGCTGGTCTGGAGTTTAATAAGATTCTAACAGGGCCGCTATTTTTGATGCTATCCACGTTTGTTAATCAATCAGTAAGCTGTCAGCTCCAACAGAAGTTGGAGTGCTTCCTAATTACTGTGGCTTGGCAGTGCCCCCGTTAAAATCTGAGCCACATGCAAATTGTATTTTTATTCACTTAGCCTCCATTCTATTAGAAATAAATGGAGACAATCGCAGTTAGGAGAGAATAATCACCACCTGCTAGTTACTATAATGACTTAAAGGCTTAAACATGAAGAATAAACACTTTCTCACCCAGAAGGGAGAATGAGACAAAATGAGTTAGTTGTCTGCTACAAAACATCAAAACTCTTTCATCGATGAAGATAAAGGCTTAGCCACTCTACAACTATTACAAAGAATCAAATGTGTCAGAGTACACTTAGTTGGATAAAATATTAAAATTTCTACAAAGTTGTGTGTAAAATATTTATAAAAGCTTGCAGCGCAACATAACACCTACTTGTTGCAATGATGTTTCAGATGCTTCTTGTAGCCGTCGTCCTGCAGCATGTGCTCAGGGTTGTGTTTCCGGAGCCACTCAGCTTTGTGGATGTCAAAAGAACTAGTTTGGGTCTTCATCTTTTTGCCTTTTCTGCCCCTAGGTACTGGGGCAGACAGGCCTAGAGGGAGAAAAAGGAGAAATCATTTTGTGCTCCAATGAGGGGTAAAAGGTTTAGTTTTAGGCTAAGATCAGTTAATAAAATTAAACGGAAAACACTCACCGAGGTGATTCTGCAGCTCCTTGGTGCGCCCGTCTTCAGTCGGCGCTATGAGGTCCCACATGAAGCTCTTTATTTTGTCATCGCCCCGATAATGGACCAGGCAGTAAGCTAGAAGGGCTCTGCAGATGGACTCCACATCCCACTCAGTCAGCTGCTTCTTAAAGCGACCGTGGTTGAGGATGTCTTTCCATCGACCCCATCTGGAAAAATAAAAAGTCAGAAATTTATGTAAAATATGTAATAGAAAATATCATGTATTGCAATAACTGAATAATAGAAGTGTAACTTATATTTGCTGCAGATCGAGTAATACAGGTTGAGTGTTTATTTCTGTTAATTTTCCTGAATGTGGCCTACAGTCAAAGAAAACTTGTTAGAACTGCTGACTTAAAATAAAAAGAAAAAAATACTACATTCCATTTACAGAGTGATTAATCTGAGCATTTTAATGGAAAATTAAGTGAAAGGTAAAACTGTGGTAGAAAAGAGGGTACACTCAAAAGGGTAACCTCAGCTTTGAGGATATTCTGTAACAAAGTCCATTCAAGAGTTTAATAAAGTTTGATTCAGGTGAAAACCTGGAGTAGAGCCGCCAAACATCTTTGTCATCTCACTTATTTTCAGGTGAAAAACTCTTTTATTTTATTTAGAAATCAAATTTCCAGAGTTTAGAGAGAGAATGAGAAAGGTTCTTAATATCCAGTGTGAAAGTTCAAATGGTTTTGGGAGTCATGTTATCTCCTGGCCAAAGACATTAGCTCACCGTGTTTTTGTAGGCATCAGATCAACAGAAATGCCAGTGAATATCAAAGAATCTAATCAAACCCTTGTGTTGAACTCACCCATATACAAGCAAATTCTTCTCCACTCTGAAGCACTCCGTGCGGCCGTAACTGTTGAGGCGATCGTTTCTTCTGAGCTTGGGCTTGGTCTCATCGCTGTCACTTTCACCCTCTGACAGCTCTGCCAACTCGTCTTTGGTGGCACTGAAAGGTCTCGTCTGCTTTCTTACACGAGGAGTGTCGATCACTAAGCTGTTCTGTGGTGGAGAGGACGACAAGTTCTCAGGAAATCCACCTTCTAGGTTTACTCAACACTGTCCAAGTAAAGGCTCATCTTTATTAAATCTGCACTGTAGTGCAGTACTTACTCTGCCATTGACCATATCCATATCAATGTCAGCTTTCTTGGCCCACTTGTCCCAGAAATTAGGGTCATCCAGAGAGATGTCTGTGCGGTTTCCAGATGCTACAAAACTGGCCTGAAGGCACAAGCAAAGTTAATTTGAACATACTTTTCAGATTTATTGCTGATTCAGGATGAAAATCTGGCAAATTATACAAGAATTGGGAGTGAGTATGACTAGAAGTGCACCAGTCAATTTATCAGTGATAGGCAGGTCAACAGAAAAATGTGATATCTTCAGATTTACTAAATGCATTACGACTAACCACAAATACCATCTTTGGTCTTTACAGCATTAACTTTGATTCACTTTTTTGCATAAATGGTTTTGTAATTTCTCAACTTTCTATTGGATTGCAAATTACTCCCTCTATCATAGAACTTGCATCACATTTTTATCTTATGCTTAAATTCTTAGAATAAAAAAACAACAAAACGTCAGTATTGGTCAAATGTGGAATCAGTCTTAAATAACATAAAAAATGGTACAGGCCAGTAAAAGTCTGATCGGCGAATCTCTGAAGGTGATATATATTTATTATTTGTGCTGAAACATTTTTCTACCTAGTATTGTTTACCTTGGCAAAGGTGGATCCTCGTCCCTCAGACTCAATTGTGATGGTCTTCGTCCTTCGCTGGAGGATCTGGTCAATGTCCTCCTCACAGAATTTGGCCCCTTCGTCTTCCTCATCCATGATGGCTCCATAGGCGCCACGTCGCAACAGATCCTCAATCTCTTTCTTGGACAACTGCTGCTGTGCAGCCTAAAGAAAGAATGCTCAGTTATTGTAAATAAATTCACAAATGCATTTTATTATTTACAACAAGGCACTGAAACCAAGTGTCACCAAGAGAATCAAAACACACATCCAAGTGCATACATGTTGGATTGTTTAGAAATCTGCAGCCCCTGATGTAACCCCAGCTGCTGTTTGGTATGCAAATATGCTGAGCCGACCAGATGCAGGAAAACAACTCAACCTCCATATAGTTCATTTAATTCTCAAAGGGACTCAAACTGCAGCTCAACATCCACCTACACTCTACACACACTGCTGACACACTCCCTCATAAACAGATTAAACTAACAGGATCAGTTACACAGTGAGAAAATTTCAGCAGTGACCCTCATGCTTTACTTTTTTTTAACTAACTTGACATATTAACAGTTTTCCATATTTTCTGGTCTATTTAAGTATTAAGAAACATTACATTTACATTTATTTTTATTTTAAAACATTGAACATTTATTTATTTATGAATTATTTAACCTAGTTCACTTTAATTATCTGCAGAAAATGACAATAGGACAGCTGATTTTTTTTTTTTTTTTGGCAAAAACTTTTCTTTCCTTGTGTGATAATCAGATCTGAGCCAAGTAGAATAAAGATACGCCCAATGTAACTAATATTTCCATAAGTAAATATATATTTTTTGGTAAGTTTTTTGAAGAAGTAAGTGAGACTTAAGCTTTTTTCACATTTTGTTATGTTACAACCACAAACCTCAATGTATTTTAAAAGGATTGTAAGTGGTACAACACCACAGAAGCACATAATTGTGAAGTGGGAGGAAAGTTGTAGAAGGTTTTTACATATTTTACAAATAAAATAAAAAAATCAGAAAAGTGTTGTGTGCAAAGGTATTTGTCCACTTTACTTCGATGCCCCAAAATAAATTCCAGTGAAATATATTGACTTCACAAGTAACCTGCAGTTTTAAGTAGGTAGAAGTTATAAAACAGTATCCCAAACCTTGGACATCTCACAAAGTTCTGTTCAATCCATTCTCCAGAAATAGACTGAGAATGGCACATCTGCAAACCTACCAAAACATTGCAACTAAAATGACATTGATGGCATGAATCAGAGCGGCAGCCAAGAGGTCTGTGGTAACCGTGGAGACACAGCAGGGATCCACAGCTCAAATGGGAAAATCTGTTGACAGGACAACTAGTAATCATGGATTCAACAAATGTGGCCTTTATGAAAGAGTTCCTTGAAGAGAGCCCCATGTTGGCAGAAAGCCTGGTAGAGTTTGCTTGAAAGATTGTCACATTCAGGTAGGAGAGGTGGCAAACAACTGGAACAGGTGATTTATTCAGATGAGGACAAAATTCTAACTTGGCCTACATGTAAAATCACATGTGGAGAAGGAAAACTAACACTACACATCACCCAGAACACACCACCTTAAAAGTGAAACAATACGGTGCAAATACTTTTCTTTCACCAGAGCCAGTGTTGGTCAGTGTGGAGCTAAATACACAAACATTGTTAGAGGTAGCCAAAAAATTAAGACTTGGGTAAAGGTTCACCTTCCAGCAGGACAATAACCATAAACATACACCTTGAACTTCAGTAGAACTGTTTAAATAAACGCATATCCATGTGGCAAAATGGCCCACCCAAAGTATTCCAGTTGCAATCTGTGGCAAGAACTGAAAATTGAAAAATAATTCTCCTTCACAACTTCACAAAGTTGCTTTTTATAACAGTAAAAGGTCATGAAAGCCTTTGCAAGTCACTGTATAGTAAGCAGCTGCATGGTTTAAGCGTTTTATAATCGAGATAACTCATCGTCTCACCCCTCCTCCCGTGCCTCCTCCAAGACTGTTGTCACGGCCACTCATGCTCTGCAGCACTGCTTTGTCCAGTCCCAGCTTCAAGCTTGCGCGGTCGAACATTTCTCGCTCGTACGAGTTCCTGGTGATAAGACGGTACACCTTCACCGCCTTGTTCTGACCGATTCGATGACAGCGAGCCTGAGCCTAGAGGGCAAAACAAACGGGTAAACATGAACTCAAGGCAAAAAAAAAAAAAAAGCTAAACTGTACTTTTAACTTGTTTGGCATCTGTTCTTAGTGTAATATTCATAGGTAGATTACGTGATTTTTTTTTTTTACCTGCAGGTCGTTTTGAGGGTTCCAGTCAGAGTCAAAGATGATGCAGGTGTCTGCTGCGGTGAGGTTGATGCCCAGGCCGCCAGCTCTCGTACACAGAAGGAAAACAAAGCGGTCCGAGTCGGGCTTACTGAAGCGGTCTATGGCAGCCTGTCGCAGGTTCCCACGAACGCGTCCATCGATGCGCTCATACAAGTACCTACAGCCAAGGCAAACACAATTAAACTGTGATATGAACTTTATTAATGCTTTCCCTACGACCTTCGTCAACAGACTTTGAATGTACCCAAAACTCTGGTTTTATTTTAAACCGGTTTTAACTGGAGAAACAATCTCAAACAGTGCTTCTTCAAAGACCGGTTGCGCTCTTTCACAGCGCGGCCATCCTCACCCCCTCCCACATCCGAACCCTCTGCCCTCCCTGGAGAAATCCACTTCCACTCTGGTGAAACCTCACAGACTCTCCAGCTTGTCTGATGTGGTGGAACCCCGAGGGCATCTGTAACCTGCTAATGAACCCTGTCCGAGGTCGGAGCTGCTCGGCTCCTCACATGCTTACAACCGTTTCAGGTTTGCTCCACATTCTGGCGTGAAGCCAGAGCAAAGAGAGAGAGAAAGGAAGGCGAGGAGACATAAAAGCAATCAGAAGATGCTGAGGAAAAAACATATTTTAAAAATATGTAAGCAAGAAAGTGGAAAACCAGAAGAGAAGAGGCATACACCCAGACTCTCGGCTATAAATTGTAAATTCTTAAACGGTTTTATATTTTACAGCCATCAACCCATTTCAGGTTTTAAGGAGACTTCAGAGCTATACCAAAGACATCACATAACAGAAACATCACCCACCCACACAGTTTAAGGCAAACAAGATGAGAGCTTGTGATGCTTTGATTTAAAAGCTTATACTGAAACTCTACAAATCAGCTTTCAGATAATTGTCAGTCATTATGAACAACTCCTGTTGATGCATTATGGAGAAAAACACTTCTAATACTGAGGCCTATTTTCAGAATGTAAACAATTTTTTAAAAAAGGGTGATTTTATACAAATTAGTATTGGAAATCTTTTCATGAAAGCGAGAATAATTAATTGTAAAATGTTTGTACTCTAATTCTAGTTCAGGTGTTCAGTGTTTATCCATCCCTCTGTATTTATATTCTTGCCTCTTGTGACTCGTAGACAACAATCCAACCCTAACGCCATCTCTTCTTCTCTACAAGCAGCCATTTAAGTTGCTCCATAAATTTAACATATTTTTCCTCCTAATAAGAATGTAGCGAACAGTGTGAAGAGCAGCCCTGTTACATTCAACAGACGTTACCTTTTCTGAATGAGGTAGTCTTCCAAGATATCCAGACAGCGCACCATTTGGGAGAAGATGAGCACCTTATGGCCTCCTGCTTTCATCTTGGGCAGCAGTTTGTCAATGAGGACCAACTTTCCAGCAGACTGCACCATCGCCTGCAGGTGAAAGTCAGCGGCAGTGGGATTGTGTACTTCCCTGAAATCCTCCAGGATCTTCTCTTCCGCCCCTAAAGTGGCAAAGACACAAATCTGTCAGCAATGCTGTATTTAACAAAAGTTTCATTTCTTCTAATGATTCAACTCAGTTTATCCCTGAAATCCAGGTAAGACACAGGATGTGCCTTACCTGGCACATTTTTTGGGGGCAAAAAAAAAAAAAAATGTGTGGGCTTGAACAAAAACACAAGACATTCTTGAACCTTGGCATATTTTGTCACTTGGGATTTCATGAAATAGACCAACACAAAGTGGTATATAATTGTAAAGTGGAAAAAAATATAATTGTTAAGGGCTTCAAAACAAGGTTTGTTGTGAATTAGCACTACACAAATAGCCTGAATTGAATAAAAACACAAAGTTATTATTTTTACAAATAAAAATGAGAAAAGTTAAGCAGTACTGAGAAAAGTTCAGTATTGAGCCCCCTTGACTGAATCCAACTCAGTGTCAGCAACTGCCTTCAGAAGCCACCTAATTAGTAAACTGAGTCCATCTGTTTGCAATTTGATCTCAGTATACATACAGCTGCTCTGTGAAGGCCTCAGAGGTTTGTTAGAGAACATTAGTGAACAAACAGCATGATGAGCAAAAACACAGCATATAGGTCAGAGCAAACATGGAGAAGTTCAAAGCAGAGTTAGACTATAAAACCATAACCAAAGCTTTAAACATCTTATAGAGCGTTGTTTAATTTATCACCCAAAAATGGAAAGAGTGTGACCCATGGCAGAGCAAGGCATGATTATCTGTGTAAACTAGCCAGTTGTAAAAGGAGAGAATTAATCTGAGAAGCAGCAATGAGGCTAATTGTGACTCTGCAGAGATCTACAGCTCAGGATGGAGAATCTGTTGGAAGAGTGGTAAGGAGTTACCTATTGTTCATAGAAAGTCACATGCAATCAACCACAAGCCATGTGTAAAAACAGTAAAAATGTATAAGAAGATGCTCTGGTTAAATGAGACAAAAAACTGAACTTTTTGGGCTGGAATGGGAGGCTGTTCTTTAGTAACAATAAATTCCAGGAAAATAATCCTGGAAGAAAACTAGACAAAGGCTGGAAAAAGACTTGAGACTGAGAAGCCAGAGCTATGAAGGAAAGGTGTAGATCAAGGCATATTGATGTGCTAGAATGGCCCAGTCAAAGTCCAGCCTTAATCCTATTAACTCTTGTAGAAAAAAAAAAACATGAAAAAGATTCAGACACTCTCCAGCTAAACTGATTAAGTTTGGGTAATTTTGAAAACAATGGGGACAAAATGTAGTAGTCAGACATTCAAAGGTTCAGTAATTCTACAATGTGTTGACTTATAAATGCATGAATGTTTTTATGAAAGAAAATCTATGCATCGTTTTCATCCAACTTCACAGTTCAGTCATACTTTGTCGGTCTTCAATGAAATATATTAATATTTGTTACCATAATGTGAGAAAATGTTGAAAAGTTCTGGGCATTTTAACACTTTTGAAACAAACTGTAGATATTAGATGCCCTGAAATGTTGACAGTTTTAGCAACTCGGTCCCAACTTACCTTTGATGAGGTAGGGGTGGTTGCAACACTTTCTTAATTCCATCATGGTGTTGACCAGGTTGGGCATATTTGACTGGCCGGCTCCTTTAGCCAGGAAGGAGAAATTCTTCTCCAGGATGGCGCGATAGTATTTTTTCTGGATGTTGGTGAGCTCCACCTCAATGATGGTTTCCTCTTTGGGAGCCAGCTTCTTCTCCACGTCTTCTTTCAAACGACGCAGCATCATGGGCTTCAGGATGCCCTGAAGCTTTTGCACCTGTGGGCCAAATGGGTCACGCAGTGAAGCAGCTGCATGTGCACTAACAGGTGCGAGTTTGAAAATGCAGCATCATATGCACCGTTTTATTTATTTTTTTTTAACGTTTATTCATATCTTTTACAAAAGATTATGTAGTGAAACTATGTCACTTCTAAGTATTAGGGTAAACATTTTCTGTGGCTTTTAGATCTAGTATCGCATGCTGAGTTCTTGCTGTTACAAATAATTCTATGGGACTCCATGCTGAGAGACTGTGGGAGGAAAAACTACCTGCACTAAGCTGACAACTGATATATTTTTGGGAACACGGAGAAAAATATGATTTATGCTGTTCTATATCTGTGAGCTCACCTGCTCCTCTGTCTTGAGGTCACCAAACTCCTGCATGAAGTTGTTCTCAGAGGGGAAGCGTGCCGGCTCCAGGAAGTGGAGGAGACTAAAAAGCTCCTCCACTGTGTTTTGCAGAGGCGTACCCGTCAGTAGGACCTTGTGCTCCTTAAAGAGGAGGAAAGAAACAGCACAAATTAAAACTGTGTTCAGCTTAAGCTGCAGAGCACTATTTTATTCTTGAATCATTTCCCTACCAGGTTCATGAGTTTGAAGCCCTCAAGCAGCTTGCAGTTCTTGTTCTTAAGACGATGGGCCTCGTCGATGATCACGCAGCGCCACTCGATGGCATTGAGCTCGGGACAGCCGCCCAGGATCATCTCAAACGTGGTGATCACAGCTTGGAACTTGTAGGCACCCCGAATCACGCGACCCTGAAACGCATGGATGGAACTTGTGATGCTTCAATCAGACCGACATCAGAATTGGCCATTTTTCTCTTAATTTGTTGTGAATTGGCACTACGTAAATAAACTGAAGTGAACTGAAGCCATTTATTTTCTCCTTTTCTTTTGTGAGGAAATCATCTCTAGCAGAAGAAGTACATTGGCACCTGCATGTTGAGTCTTACTGCTGTTTATTTGTTGTCTGTCTGGGGAGGCTTTGCATTGCCACGCCTCTCCATTTGTATCCATTGCCTTGACAACAGCCCTCCAGAGATCCTCTGTTATCCTTTAGCTTTCCCCTCCCCTCTTCCAACAACCAGCCAGCCGGCAGACGACTGGAGGAGCCACTCGTTCAGATATGCTTGAACAGCAATGACAGTGAGCTCCCCTTGGAGAGTGCTATGACATCACAGGCTGCCTTGGAGACAGCCGGGTGGCGGCTCCGTTCTCTTCTCCTCTCCCTTACCTTAATTCCTGTTACGCTTCGTCTGAACACTAAGAGCTCCTAACTGCCTGATGCAAAATATCACATGCCCTGTCAACCACAGACAGCCTCCGTCCAAGGCTCACTAACTACCTCATAGTCTACTTATTGCAGCACAAGCACCCCTCTCTGGTTCTTGTTAAATGCCATCTTGCTAATGCAAAGCTCATTAAAATGATCTCACCACCAACAGAGGAAAGGGTTTGCTTTCATGGAAAAAAAAATCTATTGTGCAATTTGACAGACTGAAGTGAAATCTACTCAGTATAGCACCCTTTTAATTCAGGGGTGTCCAAAGTGTGGCCTGAGGGCCATTTGCGGCCCTCTGAAGGATAATGGCTGGTCCAAATAGAGCAATTCTGAACTCCAAGCATAGGTGGTTGATGCAGATAGACATGTTTTCCACATATTTTACATTTACATAACATTTCTTAAAAATATATTAGGTACAAATAATAGATTACCATTAACGAGGTTTTTGCATTCATCTTAATTTTGGAGTAAAGCAGAACGACAAACATTTATCCACATTTTCCTAAAAGCAAATCTGATTTGCTTTTAGGAAAAGTAAATTTGATTTAAATGTTTTAAATCAAAACATTTAAAAATGATGGGTCTTTTTAAAGATTTGTACATTAATTTTCTACAAAAAATCTGACCATTTTGTTCATTTCAATAAGATTGAAATTGCTTAGTTTACGAATGAACAGCTAAAATTAAAAAGTCACCTAAGGTTGGGTTTAAAATGATGTAAAAAAAAAAAAAGCAAATTTTTAGAGGCCTCAAGCGCTTTCAATTCAGTGTTTGCGCACATAAACCCGCCGTCCTGGGGCGTGAACTTTGACCTACGTTAGTCTCTTTTCTCCAGGAGAGTGCTAGATTGTCATTCATAAATCTGAACTAGATTTTTTTTTCTAATTCTGAAATTAATATGGCTTTAAAGCATGCCATGTTGTTATACAAAGTCTGCTTCTGATTGGTTGATTAGTCCCACATGATGACTCCTCCCTCAGAAGCAATGAACTTTGGAATCCAAGACAAAGATTTGTATAACCAGGTCAGAAAAGTTGTAACTTTTTAATGATCACTTTTATTATGTTTTTTTTTCTTTTTATTGTCATTTGTTTGCATCATGTAAAATCTTTGTTTTAGAGCAATCTTTGACAGACTGACGGCCTCCCAGTAAAATGAAAGTCAGTTCTTGCAACCAAGTAATAGATCATAAAACTCATTCTTTGCCCTTGTGAGATACTGATAAAATATTGATGCATTTTATATTATAATCAGTTTATGCAGCAGCATTTTTCACATTCATTTTTCATATTAATTCCAGTCACAAAATGTCCCCCAAACAGTAGCGTCTAGATTATGATTGTTCTTTGTTTATCATTCATAATAATTTGCATTTCTTTGTTTCATTAATAATTAAATAGAAATGATCACAAATAAAACACCTGATTTTGTTAGGAATTACTTGTGTTATAGGCCTTTCACAAGTTTTAGATGAAGAGTAATTATTTGATCGCTGTCAAATAATGTTTAAGCTTGAGAAGAATACAGACATCTTATTAGATCTGTAGCAAATATCCTTGAGATTGTTTTGATGTATATCAACAAAAAATATAACTAATGACTAGAGTAAAGCCACAGAAATACTAGCCTTTTTACCCTGCAAAACCGTTTCACTAATGTATGAAATCAAGTTTTTTTTTAAATAAAAAAAAGACACAGATATAACCAAGGTCTTGCATTAGTGACAGAGAATGTGAAGTGTTTCTAGCTTTGTGCTAAATATGGTAATCACGTCCTGCCAAGCATTTTCAATGTGACTCGTTGTAGGCAGACCTGATATTCTGATTCATATAATTACATAGCTCACAGGATTTTGCGTTGCTGACAGTGCTGCTGTTTTCTAAAGAACACTTTAATTAATTTAATCGAAGTGAATCACTGCTTTCCACTTTAAAGTTCAGCAGAACAGTGCTGCTTTTTGTTCATCTGTCTTTAAAAGGTAGATTAGATGTGCCTCAATCTTGGAAAAAGGCTCCTGAATCTATTAAGATATCTGGTGTTAGATAAGCGACATAAGCTGGATGTCCTGTAGTCTTCCTAAGTGTTTCTCATGGAGGTTTTTTGGGGGAAGCTGCGACTTCACACAAAAAATACACTGAATGGGGCACAAACTAATTTAGACTAAAATCTACATTTTAGACATGATATTGACCAGCCCTTACCTGTGCATCTCTGAAATACATCTCATACTGCTGCAGCATCTGCCTGCTGATCATGCTGCCGTGGTAAACGATGACATTAAGGTGAGTCCAGGTATGAAACTCTCGCTCCCAGTTTGCAATAGTAGAGAGGGGGGCGATGATGAGAAAGGGCCCTTTGATGCCGATACGATGGATCTCTTCCAGGAATGTGATTGACTGGATGGTCTTTCCCAGGCCCATCTCGTCAGCCAAGATGCAGTTGCGCCTGATGGATGTTGGGGGGGAAAAAAAAATGGTTAGTGGGGTAAACCGTGCAAATGTGGCTGGCTGCTTTAATGATGTGCGTAGGTTGGGCTGCAGGAGAGATTCCCACATCGCTATATCACAGAGAAAGTGTTGTGCATTCGTCATGAGACTGTGTACAAAGGGAAAAAAATATATTCCCAAGACACAAAAAAAATAAATTACAAACAATGAGGTAGAAAACAGCATCATCAGCAGTAATCACAGTATAAAAAAAATAAAAAAGAAAGCATAATTTCTGCTCCTGCAATCCATTTATTCAGCTGTCCAGTGGGTGGGGGTATAATGTCTTGATGCTAATTGCAACGTGCAGATATTCCCACTGGCCTCTTAAGCAGCCCTCGAGTTTTGATGAATCTCTCTGCGTAGGCATACGCTAACTCCTGCACGCTCACACATAACTAAACCAATTCCCAGGGTTAATGCAAGCGCCGACACTTCACTCCAGATGCATAGCATTGCTTTTGTGATCGTGGGTGAAGAAAAGCAACCGGTTGTGCATTTGTGTGCACCTCCAAGGCAAATCTGACTCTCTTCCTGACCCCAAGCAGTCTAAATAGGAATCCTGTATATGAGGGCCGTGAGGCATAAGCAGGAAAGCTCATTCATTATTCATGACCTGTAATCTCAAAACACCCAGATCTTTCTAGAAAAGTACAATCGCAAGCAGAATATATCCATTTAGTTAGGCATCTTTAATACATATGAACTGTGAAATATTATTTTATTTAAACACTTGTATAGAGTGTAGTGTCATAGTTACACAAAGCAATAGTTAACTATATCAGGGTTTCTGCAGGTTTCACCAAATCAAATTTAAGACCTTTAAATGAATTAATTTAAGTCAGGGGTGCCCAAAGTCGAGGGCCGGCACCCTGCATGTTTTAGTTCTCTCCCTGGTTTTACACACCTACATCAAATGATGGCTCATTAGAAGGCCTAAGCAGAACATTGGCTTGGGAGGAGGTTGTTACTACCACTAGGGAAAGAACTAAAACATGCAGGATGCCGGCCCTCGAGGACTGACTTTGGACACCCCTGATTTAAGTCCTACATCTCCACAGGAAAGTATAAACTTCGTCCAGACAGCTGGCAATAAATGTACACTTCCCCATCCATGATAGACGCCAAACAGCTAGCAAGGATATGTTAGCAGTAAATTGCTGGTAGCCTCAACCACCTCAAGTTACAGAAGACAATGAAGATGCCGGCATGCGACTCAAACTTTTGCCTGACAGAAAAATCCCGTGAGAAAAAAATAAATAAATAAATATACAAGATTTAATAGTCCTGCTGAAATAAAAGTCAAGATCTGTGACTAAAGTATTTATGCCCAACTTACTTCCTTTTTAAATGTATTTCAGACATGTTAAGACCTTAATTTTAGATACATAAAAAATACTTTGCAAGTGAATCCATGGGGATGACATCCGGGTCGTCGACACAGATTAAAACTGACCTGTTGTACCAGTTGAAAAGAAGCCAGTTGACCCCCTCCAGCTGGTAATCCCTGAGTGTGTTGCCATTCCTGTACTCCCTTGACTGCTCCCTCTTCTTCCAAAGGTTGGCTGGAGGCCGTTCCTAAGAGACAAAACGGATAACATTACATTTAGATTTTGGATCAAAACACAGGGTTTTCTAAAGCTATTTCAAACTGATAAAACATTTTCAAAAGCACTCAAAACTTGTTTATCTTCTGGATTTTGTCAGGTTTTTTTTTTCAAGCAGGAAGAATAAGAGAAAAAAATTTTTTTTTACATGTTTAAAACATGATAATATCAGAACAGCTGTTTCTAAACACAGGTCAGAGAAGAAATCAGCAGGATGCTGGGAAGCATTGCTTCGTCATACCACTCTGCGCGAGTCTGGCTTGACTGCCTGCAGCCGCTCAAACTCTTCAATCTTGCTCTGATCAACGTCGTCCTTCAGCTCCCATGTACTGTCCTCATAAGGCAGAGAACACCATTTCACCAGGTAGTACACCACTTCCTGGAGCAGACAGAGGACAATGAGCACTGGAAATGACTCGAGCAAAGCTAAGCTTTGCTTTTGTAGCATTATCAAAGGCTGTGAGGCAGCCCATTAGGGTGGCCTTGGGCATTTCTATGATTCATACTAGATATCATTACAGGCTAGAAGATATCAAAAGGCAGAAAACCAACAAACGTAAGAAGGGATAAAACATTTTCAGCAACAAAAGCTAGGAGCAAACGCACTGCTCTGATAAGTGCTTAACTGAGAAGATGTACTCTACCTCTCCCGTGTCTTTGTCCTCGCAGTACGACACTTCGAGCACTCTGTCAACTTCCACATAGTCTGGGTTGAAAGGTTCCTCATCCATCTGAGAGGAACAGAAGATACAAAAACAGAAAGAGCAGAAGCTAAGTAGAAGAACAAATCAAATTCCCACGCGCCATCTGGAAACAGAGAAACAACTCTCCTGTATCGGCTCAGTAAGTAAATAAATTCAAATCAATGCACACAGATGTGCCATCCCACACATATCAAACAGAAAGCTTTTTAATATCCACACACACCCCTCCAACACATGCGTACTGAAAACAATTGTCACAACTGACGTAATTATATAAAAAGAACAATCCTCTTATTAGAAATACTAGAATGAGGAAACATAAAGCGGTGTGCAAATAGATGGAAGAGGCTGTTTGCACACACATACACACGCAGCCTTACATCTGTGAAGAAGAGCGCCCTCTGTGCTTGTTTCATCTTGAAGCGTTTGATCTTCTGCTGAATCCTCTTGTCCTTTTCTAGATGCTGCTCAGTGGCCCATTCACAGTGGAGGTAGGAGCTGACAGACACACAGGGAGACAACCATGAAAATCCGCTGTTACACACTGCTCACATCACCGGAGGGCGATCGGATTTTCTCACTGGCCTTATGTTTCCACTCATCTCAGTCATTTTTAAATGAGAAAAATAAACAGTGCCATTAACATGTTCATCATTTTTATTATTTGGCTGAAGGGAACAGAATCTCGCTCATGACAGCTCAGTGATTTCAAAGGCTGCTTCAGGCTTTTGGAAAAAAAAAAGAAAAACACATTTGAACTATGACAGCTGTCCTAAAGATGCTTATACATATAGTGGAGACAACTTTCCTTAGATTTTACCTTTTTTCTCTACTTCACTTTTCTTCAGGTCTCTTTAATATGTCAAAACAAATCCATTTCCATAGGTGGTGTCCAAAAAGTGTCAAAATATGAATAATAAGTGACGGCTGGTTGTTTTTAGAACGTCTGTTAATATTAAAACTACCAGATGTCAAAAAAAAGTCTAGAAAATGATAACTACAAAATTAACCTAAACCACAGTTTATTAAGTCTAAAGCAACACAATGTTGACATTTTTGGTCTCACCGAGTGTAAAAAATGTTTTAGAAAAAGCTAATTTCTTTTTCCATTAGCTCTATGACCCAAGCCCTCTTCTGATTGGATGATCAGCCCCTTGTTACATCCCCTTCAAAAGAAGCTCAGGCTCTCTGGTGAGCTGCTGAGCTCCACTCAGAAGAAAATTTAAACTCCATAAAGAAGCTTCTACCTGTTAGATAATTATTCATGCTTTTAAGATCTGGTTACCATAAATGTTTTCGTTCACAGGATTCAACTTTTCGGCCATCAACCTGGGATGTGTGTTTGGTATAACTCGATAACTTCAATTTAAAGTGTTTCCTTTTGTATCCAACGAGATTTCACAACCAAAGTGAGAAACCAGCAACACATCAACAACTGAAACTAGCAGTCATGCCTGTTTCTGAGTTACCTTTTGGCCGAGAGAGGGAACTAGCAGAATAATGAGAAGTCCAGTTGGTTTCATGAGTGAAATGACCCGATTTCAGACCAGAGAGAGGTACTCAACTTTTCCTTTAAACGGTGGTTCTGATGATGAAAGCTGACAGGCCCAAGTGGTTCAAGGACTCTGCCTTCCTTCTTTTTGTGCCATATTTTAGCTTAAATTATTGAGTGGAATCAAAACTAGGCCCAAGCTTTTGATTATTTTTATATCTTTAAGCAGTTTCTGTATTTTGAATGTTTCATTTCTTGTCATTAAACACAGAAGGCCGTTTTAGACAAGGAGGTGTCTGTGTGACCATTAATATCTGGAAATAAAAATATAACTTATACTATGCTGTCTTTTCGTCTTTTCCCCATACTTGGAAAGTATTTAATTCAATTAAATAAGATATTTTAACACAGAGTTATGTTTCAAAGCCTTGGAAGAATTTCTCATTTAAATTGAATGTTAAAACTTTAGGCAGGAAAACAGAGAAATTGAAGATATTAGTTTCTTCATGTTTTTATGTTCAATTTGCATTTTGCATAGACAAATAAAGATCAACAATAGAAAATTGAACTTACTAGTTTTTGTATTTTACAAAAAACTCTTCCACTTCTACCATTACACCTGGAGATACCTAGAATAGGTTTAAGATAACAAAAATGGCAGTAAGTACAACAGAAAAACAGAAATTACAAACAATTAAATTTTAATAATGACTGATGAGAATAAAGTGATGTATAATTACCTCCTTCTTCATGATACGAGAAGACATGATTTTGTCAACAATAGCAGCATCCTCCTCTGTAGGATTCTCCTGAGAGACAGTAAAGACTTAGGTCTCATGTTTAATTAGTCTCCAGATCAGACAACTTAAAATGTTTTGGCAACAGAAACTCGGGTCAAATATTTCCCACAACATACAACAGAGAAATCTCATAAACAAGAGTTAGCAAAAACAACCTCATTACGTCTCTCAATATGACTTGAATAAAATTAAATAAAACATTATAAAGAAAATAGCTTTTGTATTACAATGTGAAGTAAAACTAAGTTTTCTAGTTATATTTTTTTTTGTGGAAAGCAGTCATGATTTCCAAAATACTGCAAATATATTTCCATTCATGTGAGAAACTGAAACAAATTGGATTCCTTTTGAAGCCTACAAAAAAAAAATCAAGCAGGATTTATGAGAAAGAAAATCAGCCAGCTCTGCTTAATCTATCAAAATATTGATTGTTTTTCTTTGAAAAGGAAATTGTTTCAATAAGACTTGTGCAATATGGGAAAAATGCTTTGCATCTAGCTCTGCTGGCTCACAATATTAACTGTAATAATGTTGCCCTCGCAAAAAATGTATAGGTAGCTATATTTCTGCTATATTTATATAGTAATAACTGTATTCTCACATGATTTGCATAAGCACCACACTGTTCATTTCTGTACAACACCCACATCTATTTTAGTTGCAAGGCTACCGAATCACTGAAGAGGCTCAAAGTAATTGTAATTAAGCGTTTTTTTTTCTTTCAGGTATAATTAGTGGGAAGCATTTGTGGAGCATTTACAGTCATCATGATATCATGGAGCAGCAGGAGTTCTCCCCTTTCCCTGCCTGCAGCGGAGCAGGTGCTATATTTCAAAGCTGCAACGTTTTTTACAAGCTGATTTCATGAAACAACCTTCCTCAGATCTGAAAACTTGTCAAATAATGCATCCAGGTGGTGATGGTATTCGGTCAACACTTTTCTCCCCTTGGTCTTCTGTATGTTATTATGGACAGAGTGAATGTATAGCAGAGGTATATGTGTCACTTCCTCCTGACAGAGGTTTTTGTCCTTTACCCATACCAAAACAGTTTCACCCAGGTCTGTTAGGACCCGGCTTAGACAGAAAAATAAGCAATAAAACTGTCCTGTGCAAAATTTGTTTAACTTTTTTTCTGTCCAATTTAAGACAAAAACAATAAAAACAGGAAGCCTCACCCTTAATAATAAGTTTAATTAGAGCTAAAATAGGAAAAGCTCATAGTCTCAGCCTCCCACCATTGGCTTAGTCACCTACATATCGAATGTGGGTCAGTGCACTGCAATCGCTATTTTCAGCTCCTTCTGTAAGCTTTGTTTGCTACCTTCTGAGTCGCAATATTGTCAGGTGCTGATAATAAATGTTGCATGAAAAGATGTGTGCAACTCCGATTTGTAGAGTCAGTCGGCTCTGTAAAGAAAATTCACGAACATAACATGTGTTCCACTTTTAATATTTGGGGATGCTGAGCTGAAAGCAATTTATATTAATAAATGAGTCCAATTTGCTGCGCTGGAAGCTTAGTAAAACCCTCTTGGGTATATTTTTTTGGATATTTAAAAGTGTTGATAGTTCAACCAATGCTTAGTAATGATAACAGAAACTTTACTTTGATGCTTAATCTTATCTAACTTGCCAGGCTCATAAAAGCAGATACACTTACAACAAACAGCTGAACAGCAGGGTCCTTGGATGCAGCAGTGTTGCTTTTCTTGGTTTTCACAATAACTTTGACATCCTCATCTGACAATCTGGCCTCCAGCTCTTCAGCGTACTTCTTTCTCTTCACCTGACGGTTCGACCGCCTCTTCTAGAGAATCACAATAAAGAAGAGGCAGATTAACATACAGAAAAATAAATTGATACAAATATAACAGGTTCATTTGTTGAAAAAAATAATGCTTTCATACAGGGGCCCTGTGGTTCCATACGCAAGGCTGCTTAGTAAGGTCTGAAATGGCTTTATTTATTTATAAGTTTTTTTTTTTTCACAATAGTAATTAATTTAATCAATTTTATCTGAATGCCACCTTGTCATTCAGACAAAAGACCATGTGCTGATTTTTCATTAACCCCTCAGTAAAACAAAATGATCCTCCAAAACTTTTCCTCCCTTTGTCTACCAGACGACTCAAATTAGATCAGGGGAAATTTTGATTTTGTACCTACTGTTCACAACCTTTTACTTTATACATTTCTTTTCTCTACAGACCCCATGTTTGTGTGTGGATAAGGTCCAGATGAACTGCCCTTTTAGGACTTTAAAAGTGGAATTAGAATTTGAAATAATTTAGTCTTAATTTGCTGAGAATATAACAGAACAGAAATGCTCTTAAATAACTTGGATTAGTTTTGGAGACAAACAAATCTTGATTATGACACAAGTCACAAAAATATGTCCCACTGTTTTATTCATGATCTTTTGAAAATCTGTGTTGAAAAAACTAAGTTGAAAAATCAGGAGAAAGATTAATGTAGGGAAAAAACCAGGAGAGCTTTGAAGTCCAGCTTTTGTCTCTGCCTTCCTGTCAAGTTTTTATAATTATCTTATGCGTGGGCTGCTGCATCCTGCATCAATACAGCCCCACCTAAAGATAATATGTAGTTAATTAGGAATAAAATGCCACTGAGCCAAAGTTAATTAGGTGTGCATTATAAAATCCCTGAGGAGACAGACCCTTAAATCTGCAAACTAAAGATGACCAGAGGCAGAGAGTCAAACCTGCCACTTTCCAAAGCAACAAGGACGAAGCCCTGAGGAAAGCAGGTTTCCATCGTAGCTGTCGGACATGCTACCTCGACTTCTGTCACTAGATCATCTTAAATGACTCATCAACAGATACTTTTAATTAAGGCCAGGGGCGCCATCCAACGGGGGTAATTATATCAGAGGATAAAGTCTGGAGAGGTCTCAGAAAACGGGGAGAGGGGTGATAAAGCAACGAGTGTGCGACAGATCATCCTCATGTCAGTTACACGTCAGCAAATTCAACATGAGTTGTTTAAATAACCAAAACATCTGAGCAAATATTTCAGTTTGAATAATAGCCCCATATAAAATTGAGAATAACTAAAAAAAAAAGAGACACCTATGAGGAGGGGGTTTCTGATGCTGTATGGTAGACAGTATAGACGGACTGTCAGTTTTCTCCATCATCAACAAACAGAGGAATGTGTACTTGAAATAGCCACCCACTATCTGACCTCTGCATGAACCACATTCAATCCTTGCAAGCTCAAACTAAAGCTGTGAGCCTTCCCCGTTGCCCCACAGCAGCATGAGCAGCCGTCAGGGCGACGACACCACTTCCCTCAATCAGTGTTGTCAGAACAGTAACAGAAGAAGAGCCGAGCGTCGTCTTTGTGCTCTGAGAGCCAAGGTGCGACACCACAGGCAGCAACGCCTAAACCACATCAGAACCAGATTAAAGCTCCCTCAGACGCAACTAAGTTCCCACTTGACATCAAAGTGTTAGGAGGAAAATGGCAAAGGTTTCAATGTCAATGTTACACTGAAGGTTTTGATTAGAAATGATCACTGTTTTGTGTTTTCTGAAGAAGAAGAAAAAAGGAAACTTACAGAATCGTCATCCTTAGAAGAGTGACGAGGCGGGGGATCATCATCAGACTCCTCCTCTGATGACTCTGGCTTTCGCTTTTTCCTTTTTCCAATCTTGATGACAATTTTCCTAAAAGAGAAAAAGAAAAAAAAAAACACACCATGAGTGATGAAAACTGCTCTGAAGATCATAATTCTTAAAAATCTCCATGTAAAGAAAACTCTCTGAGGCCTAACATTTGGTACCGCTTAGCTCCCAAACTGAAGTTTAAGCAGCTGTTTGGGAAAGTGAAACCATGTTGAGGTGTTTAACAAATGCCAGCAACATTAAGGACAAATTAATATCATCAACCCAATGAACTGGAGAATTCAATAAGGGAAGATCAAAACCTGCAAATACTAGAGATGTCCCAATCAATTTGACACAAATCAAAATCAGCAACTTCCATCATTTTTGGTCTATAGCCACATAAACCAACAATATGTATTCTTTTGAATTTAATACTTTTTGAAAATTATAAAAATTATAGATATACATTTTAATGCATGAGTTATGCATTAAATCTTATTATGCATTAAATAATCTTGCATTAAATTAATAATCTTGCAATTCCTTTTATTTTCTGTTGTAAAAACTACAATCACTATCAAATAAACTTTTGGTCAGAAAAAGGCTGATTCAGTTACAGAGGCACATTTTCACCAAACAGCTCATGGGAGGCATGAAAGCATAAAGTCGAGTTTTGAACCTAAATGCCTAAATTTTATTCCAACTGTTCAGTATTTTTACTAGACTGGGTTCCCAAGCCAAGGTTTATGAAATGGCTCATCACAGTGAAAACGTTCTGCCAAGGAGGAAGTGGCATTTCTTAGAGAAACATTAATTTTGCAATAAACTTTACTTTCATATGCCTGAACTACTTGCTTAGTGAGTTATCTGGGTTACAAGGCTATTTGTGACAAATTAAGTAAAAGATGAGATGCTCAAAAAGAGTTATTTTCCTGAAGATAGGCATGTTGCTCTGAGCAGATTGGCGCCATCATTTAATGAAGTGAGTTAAAACTGCGTTACACCAGATTTATCACAACAACAGTTAATATGTTGTGAATTTCATAGACAATATTAAAACAAAACCACAAGAGCTTGTGGAGAACGCTCACAGGCATTAGCATGCTTATAATGCGAGCTGTTGGTGTTTCTGGAGCTTTGCATAAACCTCCTTTGCATTTTCCACACTATTTGTTATCTTATACAATTTTTTACAAGGACAGATTGATGCCTAATAAGCAATTGGACTTCAAAGATGGGAAGAGCAGCATAGTGAATAAGGAACACGCTAGACTTTCTGCAAGTCATTCAAGTGCCTATTCTCTTTTCCATTCCCAACCATATTATTGGGTGATCTTTATGAATATATTTTCTCACACATGCAAACACATCCTATTGAGTGCTTCTCTATTTCTTGCCAGCAAGACAGAGGCACCAAATCTCAGGCTTGGTATATTAACACACACGCACACAAACCCCCCCCCATAAAAACACTGCTGTCGTAATATTAAACAGTGCTTTTTCTCCCATCACACTTTGCATTTGTATGCCAAACCCAACTAGGATAAGGCAATACAGTGTTGAACACAACTGAGCATTTTAAAGCTGCCAGATGAAAATTAGAAATACAACATTTATGCTGGTTTATTCTGCATGCAAATACAAAAATCCTGCTTTAAAGCGAGTTCTGCATCAGTAAACAGATGCAACCTACCCTAAGTAATGTCAATTCATAAGAAAAAAGACGGATCACCAACGCATTCTAACAAGACACAGGTCTGAGATTTTCTTACAGAGAAGTCAGTGTCAAAAAAACTCATTATTGGGATGTACAACTTAAATGTTTATCATTTTAGACCACAAGCAGTGAAAAATAAGATCTCTTTATATGAAATAAAAGATTGTTTCAATGTCTGGTGTTGCCAGAAAAAGGTAAAAATATCTTTACGGTTTATTATTGTGGGTCGCTGGCATTCAGACCTACTGGGTTATCAGAAGAATAACAATACCACTTGTATTGGCCACATAACAAAAACACTTAAATGTTTTGTGTGTATTAAGAGCATACTTTCAATAAACTATTTATCTATGGTTATTAATACAATGTAGTTGTGTTACTTTCTCTACAGCACCACATTGTGTTTAATTTAAAACTTCTCGAGTGTAATCACAAGTGTAAACAGTCACTAAGCTCATTTCCTCCAATGCATCACTACTAAAAAGAGGGAGGCCTGAAAGCTTTAGAACGCCATCCCAACTGTGAAGTACAGAGGCGGCTGCATCATGCTCTGGGATCGCTTTGCTATGGGAGGGACTGGGGTATTTATGACCTGAAGAGAGGGAAAAAATGGCAAAACTGAAGCAACCATAAGCTCAAGAGAACCAGGAAGTTGATGGTTGGGGAAAAATGGCCCCTCCAACTGGACAATGAACCCAGTTCTGTATCAGCTATAATCCCGCCTGTTATTGTGAAAAATTATTGAAAGTCTAACAATTCTTATTATTTTGGTAATCTTATCTCAACAAAAACAGACGATATTTACATTCTCGTGTCAGTGAGAAAAAAGCATGTGTCCATAAGTGGTTTCAACTGTTTAATCACGGGAGTGCTCATGCAGACTGCACGAGGAGGCAAGTGAACATCTACAAGAGATTGTTTATATAAGACATCTTGACACAGTATATATGAACAAAGAACCCCATATTGGTCAATACTCCCTCCTTTTGATAAGCTGCCAGACTCGGTTCTTCAGACAGTGAGGGTATTCACTAGACAGAGTCAGCCGGCCAAAGAATTTGTAAGAAAGAAAAAGTAAACAACCCAGCAAATAAAGCAAATCCATCTCCTCATTTCCACTTTGTTCATTAATCCCCAAATATAGCACTTAAATGAAAACTGAGATTCCCACGCAGTGTCAAATTAAGAGTTGATTTGCCCCTTTTCCTCCCTTCCCCGTCTCATAATTCTTCAGATGACAAATGAAACACAGAAAAATCTAAAAAAAACAGCTTTAATCTATTCAAATGCAATGTGAATGAATATTCCCCCTTTCCAGCACTGTAAATGTGGTGTTAATTGTTTTCCTATTTGGATATGAGACAGCTTCCTAGTATGTGTGAATGGTGTTAAACTTTTTTTAATTACATTGTGGGAAGAGCAGGAACACAAATAAATATGCTTGAAAAACCATGTAAATATTGCTCTATTTGATCGTTAAACACACTGGTTTTTTTCAAATTGGTTGCTAATCCGGTTATCAAATCGCTGTCCAAGCAACAGCATTGTGTTGTTGCCAATTGGAAATAAATTTCAATTGGAGGATAATTGGTTAACTTGATGGGCCATTTTCATTACATACAGGTAATGAAAATATCGCATTCATGTTGTTTTAATTTTGACTTTCCCCTATTTATCGGTCACTTATTGTTTGAAGCATAGAAATGTGGCATGTATATGTATCCAATTCTTTCTAATATGATACTCCTAAATAAAATCAAGTACAATCAATTGCCTTTAGACGTCCTTGTATTATAAATAGGCTCTAATTTAATCTCTGCATAATTATAGCTGTTCAGGCTTCAGAGGTTTGCCAACAATCAGCAACATGTGGACAAAGTAGCATCAGACAGTGATAAAGTTCACAAATACTTAAAGCAGGGCTAGGTTTTACAGCAATCACAACTGTGGGACAAAATGGTGGCAGCATCATACTGTGGGGATGCTTTTCTTCAGCAGGTACAAGGAAGCTAGCCAGAGACTGTAAACCAAAGCATATTTGTTTGTTAGAATGGCCTAGTCAAACTTTACACCAACAGAGGACCTGGGAAAACAATAGAAAAGTGCCATGTACAGATGCAATTCATCCAATCTGGTTGAGCCTGAGCTAAGAATGGGCAATTCAATTTCAACCTCTGGACAGCCAGCTGAATGTCTGCCACAATTTTCTTAAATAACAAAAACTATGTATCTGTTTCTTTCCACTTTACCATTATTCACCACTCTGTCTTGGTCGATCAGGAAAAAAATCCATTAAAAAACATTACGGTTTGTGGAGATTTCCTCTCAAGCCCATCTGTGAAGTTAGAAAACAATAGAAATCCCCAGCAGATTCATGCAGCTGCCCTTTAACGAAGAACCGCCACCTCTGAAGGCATCCCTGCTCCTGTTGTGTGATATTCCATTTCACGAATCCCGGCGATGGTCTCAGATTACCGTTTCTTAGCAACATTCCCTTAGGATTGTATCTGGTGTTGTGCACAGTAATATTCATTTCAACATCAGTTCCTGGCAAAGAAGCACTGCATGCTCCCTAACAACTTCAGGTATGTGTTTGACATATCCACTGCAAAGCAAGAATAAGCTAACGCGGCTTTCTCATGGGATCTGCCAGCACGCAGCACAACCAAGACATTATTCGGGTTTGAGGCAGGATGATGAATTTTCTTAAGCAAAATAAAAAGCAGAGTCAAATACCCAACATACAGATGGAAATCTTGATCATAATTAGTAGCTACCTTGGTTTAAAAAAAAGGCCCTAAGCCTATTAAAAAGTATAGATTTAGCATACATCCTGTGTGTGTACATCCCACTCATAAATGCAAACAGAATTGCACAAAACCTAAACCACATCTTAGCAGCGGGTATAGTCTGTTACACCCTGCTGTGGAAGATAAATCGGACCACCCAGAGACTTAATAACATTGGTTCAAATGTACAAGCTCTTTTTGACTCAGCAGGCTCCCAGCTAGCCTCAGAGTTTTCATAAAAAGAAAGAAAACAGATTTTCAAACAGAAACAGGACGGTGGAAGCAGCTACATTTACTCCTAAGAATCCTGGTTAAGAGACTCTGATGTTAAAAATTACACTTTTATTTTGTTCATGAAGAGTTTATACAGTAATTCAATGGTAAAAAGTTGAATTATTTCAGTCATTTCTTCAAAAACTCCAACTCAAATTGCATAAATTAATGACACAGTCATATTTCAAGCTTTTATCTTAGTCACTTTTGATTCTCAGCAAATGAAACCACAATGTTATGTTTCTCAGAAAGTTAGAATATCACAATGGAAATGATTTTTG